ATAGACAAATGATTACATATATATGTATATATATGTATATATGTACATATATATATATATATATTTCTTCGTATACTATATAAACATTTACATAAAATATAATACATGTGCATATATTTGTGTCTGTATATGCAATTATGTACATATATATATACATATATATATATATTTATTTATTTATTTATATGCATATATAAATATATACATATATACATATGTATATATATATGTATATTCAATTATATATGCATATATATGTATATACATATACATATATATATATATATATACATATACATATATACATATATATATATATGTATATTATATACATAGAAATGTTTATTTGTCTATTGATTTGCATGTCTATAATTTCTGAGCATTTTCTATGATTGCCTCTATCTATAAATATATATATATATAAATATATATACATATAAATATATATATATATATATTTATATACTGCTAGGGATAAATGTTTATTATACAACAAGGAGACAAACGAAGAGACAGCAGAAATAAACGAAGAGACGAAATAATAAACAAAAAAAGATATTAAAAGTGCAAACGAAGTAAACTAAAAAAACAACAAAAACACAAACAAGAGACAGAGACAGATAATAAATAAATAAATAAAGAGACAGATAATAAATAAATAAATAAAGAGACAGATAATAAATAAATAAAAGAAGAGACAGATAATAAATAAATAAAAGAAGAGACAGATAATAAATAAATAAAAGAAGAGACAGATAATAAATAAATAAAAGAGGAGACAGACGAATAAACAAATAAATAAACAAATAAATAAACAAATAAATAAACAAATAAACAAATAAATAAAAAAAAGAGACAAAAGGAGACAGAGATAAAAGAAACGAAAATAAAGTTAAACAACAAAATATCTGTCACTTAGCTGCAGCGCAGCTAGGGTTTAGGGTTTAGGGTTTAGGGTTTACGGTTTGCCTTCGAACCCAAAGGCTTCAAAAGAAGCCACAATGCCTCATAAGGCTAATACGCTAGACCCTAAACCCTAAACCCTAAACCCTAAACCCTACGCCTAAAACCACCGTCACCGCTTCCGCTTCTGCAGCAACTGCAGCATCAGCAGCAACTGCAACTGCAACTGCAGCAGCAGCTGCAGCAACAACTGCAGAAGCAGCATCAGCAGCAACTGCAGCATCAGCAGCAACTGCAGCAACATCTGCAACTGCAGCAACAACTGCAGCAGCAACAACTGCAGCAGAAACAACTGCAGCAGCAACAACTGCAGCAGCAGCAGCAGCAGCAGCAGGAGCTGTTTTATGCCCATCCCTCGTTGGGGTTGAAGTAAGCTGTATCGGAGATCCCAACAGCAGCAGCAGCAGGGTTTTGCTGCAGGAACTCGACTTCTGCTTCATCTAACTCAGGCTGTTTGCTGCGGTTTGCAAGGAAGAAGACGAAGAGCAGCAGCAGAAGAGCAGCACAGCCGACCCCTCCATAGAGCAGCAGATTGTTGCTGCTGCTATCTATTGCACAGTAGGGACCCGAAGCTTCAGCAACTGCTGTATAGCCTTCCTTGCATGTGCATACATAAGAAGAAGATGTAGCTACGCAGCTTGTTACTGCTTCGCTGCCTCCACAAGGGTTAAGAAGACAGGGGTCTTGTCTAACGCAACGATATTGCAGTGTCTCCTTAACAAGATTATAGCCTGATAAGCATGTACAGCTAGCCCCTTTGATTGTGTCTATACACTCGGCAACGCCTTCAACACCACAAGGGTTTGAAGAACAAACTAAATACTTAAATATGTCGTCGCATATTACTCGTCCGCTTGTCTCAACTGCTGTATAACCTGTATTGCACTGGCAGCTATATCTACCGGGGCCCTCATGATAGCATCTCTTTACTGCTTTACTGTCTCCACATGGGTTGTTGCTGCATGCATCTTTAGGTTTACATGTCTCCGGTTGTTGTGTCGTATCTCTTTCATAGTTTTCGGGACAAGAGCAGCGAGCTTGCTGCTGTATTAAGCTGCATACACCTGGATAACAAGGGTTAGATCTGCATTTATCTTCTATACACTTCAGCCCGTCACCTAAATACCCTTCTTTACATTCACAATATGCTCCTCCTAGCGGTTTCTCCTCTTCTTTACAAGAAGCATTAGCAGCACATTGATGTGCATAGACAGCGCAGCTACAGCCCCCATAGCTATAACCTGAATAATGTAGAGCCCCGTTACATAGAGCCCAAGAGCCTGTACACCACTGTCCTGATTGACCTGACAGCATGTGCGTCTTGCTGCAGCAAGTTGAAGGAGGACAATGAAGACCTGCTGGATATTCTCCGCTTGCTCTGTCTTTGCAAGGGCCCCCGTCGTAGCTGTATTTACAAACATAACTACGACTTGCAGCCAAAGACTTGTCTTTCCACCCTCCAGCACCGTCGCCTGCGTCTACACCTAGAGTCATTTTCTTCCTTCTCTTCCTCCTGCTGCTCCTCCTCCTCCTGCTGCTGCTGATGCTGCTGATGCTGATGCTGCTGAGGGTGGTGAGGGTGGTGATAATAGTGGTGGTGGTGGTAGTGGTGGTGCTGTTGCTGCTGCTGTTGCTGCTGCTAGCAACACAAGGATCCGCTGCTTCTCCTTCAACTCCTTTAGATTTTAAACTATAAACCCTAAACCCTAAACCCTAAACCCTCGGGTTCGGGGTTTAAGGGAGCAGCAACTCGCCCTAGTCGATGGTTGGTGTTGCGGCTGCTGTTTCAGAATTTCTTCCGCAGTAAACACAAAAAAAACAAGAAATTAATTCAAAAACAAAACTAAAAATACAAAAACGAAGAAATTTAATGCATTTTTCATGCAACAACTGCAGCAGCAACAGCAGCAGCAACAGCATCGAGGCCGACGCGGTGTACAGGCAGCTCCGATTCGGCTCGCCGTCTGGGGTGTATAGGCAGCTCGTTAGCATAGGTATACTGCAGAAATTCAGTTTTTAAGGATGAAATTCAATAAATTAGAATAAAAAACAATTAAATTTTAATATTTAATTATATTAAAATAATTATACTAAAAAAATAAACCCCAGAAGACCCCAACCCCGGACGGACCAGTCCCGGTTTGGTCTCCAAACCCTAAACCCTAAACCCTAAACCCTAAACCCTAAACCCTAAACCCTAAACCCTAAGCCCTGATGTTTTTTTGTATTTTGCTTTTATTTGAATCCTTTTCCTTCTGATTTTTTGGAGGTTTAGGGGGGAAATACCCTCACCAGCGCAGTCTCTTGTAACGATCACGCTCATGCCCTAAACCCTAAACCCTAAACCCTAACCACCAAACCCTCAACCCTAAGTATAGAAGAGCATTGACTACAATCTTCAGAGCTGCTGATGCGACAAACAGTGTATAGGCTACCTCATGCTAACGTTCTCTGTGCTGCTGCTACTTTAGCCGTTGCTGCTGCTGCATTTGCTGCAGCTTTTGCTGCTGCTGCTGCTGCTTCCGCTGCAACTCTTTTGTGTCTAGTTCGTGCACAAAACGCACTCAACGCTTAGAAAGCAGCAGGGAGGGCTTCGCCTGGGTGCTGCAGTTCAGGTGTATATACACCTCAGCCCTGGGTTTCAACGCTGCAACGGGCCCCGTCGATGCAGCAGCAGCAGCTGCAGCTGCAGCTGCTGCAGTTGAAGCTGCTGCAGCAGTGACGTGCGCATTTACGGGGCTTTCTATGCAGATAGAACGACCAAAAAAGAAAGCAGATAGCTGCTGCTGTTGTGCTGCTTGTACTGCTGCTGTTGCTGCTGCTGTTGCTGCTGTGCTGCTGCTGCAGCACAACCAAAAGTATAAAAGAGGAGCAGTTAGGGTTTAGGGTTTCAAACGCTGCATCTTTTGCACCGCAAACCCTAAACCCCTGCGCTCTCAGCGCTCTCAGCAGCAGCAGCTGCTGCTGCTGCTACCGGTGCGGGTGCGGCCACTAAGATTGCGGTTTCACGCCTGTGTTGCTGCTGCTGCTGCTGCTGCTGTTGCTGCTGTTGCTTGCTCTGGCTAGCCTGCGGTGGTGTATGTACAGCTCCCACTGGCGCTTAAAGTGTTCAAACTCAATTTGCTGCTGCGGGGTTAGGGTTGAGGGATCGACTGCAGAGATTGCTGCGTAATACTCAGCAAACTCAGCCTCTTCATCTTGCTGCTGCTGCTGCTGCTGCTGCTGCTGCTGCTGAGCCTGCTGCTGCTGATCGTACGGCTGCTGCGGCTGCTGCTGCGGTTGATGCTGCAGCTGCTGCTGATGATTGTACGGCTGCTGCTGCTGCTGAGGCTGCTGCTGCTCGTATGGCTGCTTCTGCAGCTGCTGCAGCCGCTGCTGATCGTAGACCTGCTGCTGCTGCGGCTGATGCTGATGCAGTAGTTCCTGCTGCGGTTCATAAGCCTGCCGGTCGTGCTGCTGCTCCTCTCTGAAAGTGTGCTGTTGCTGCTGCTGCTGCTGCTGTTTGTAATTCAGATGGTGCTGCAGTTGCTGCTGCTGCAGTCGCTCTTCCTCCCGCTGCTGCCAATGTGCCCACTCCATCTGTTGCTGCTGTGGCTGTTGCTGCTGCTGTTGCTGTTGCTGTTGCTGCTGCTGCTGCTGCTGCGCAGTGAGTTGCTGCTGAGACCCGTCAAGCCTACCCTTTTCCTCGTGGTCTGCTGCTGCTGCGGCAGCTTGTGTTGCTGCTGCCGCAGCTGCTCCAGCTGCTGCTGCTGCTGCTGCTGCTGTCTTTGTCTTTTCTGTCGCATGCGAATAGCTACAGGCCCCGTTGGTAATGTATGTGCTGCTGCTGCTAGGATGGCCGCTGCCTGCTGCTGCTCCTGCTGCTGCAGCTCCTGCTGCTGCACCTGCTGCTGCACCTGCTGCCGCAGCAGCTGTAGTACTAGGGACTGCCTGCATAGTCAGAGACCCTTGTTGTTGCTGCTGCTGCTGCTGCTGCTGCTGTTGCTGCTGCTGCTGTTGCTGCTGCTGCTGTTGCTGCTGCTGCTGCATCGACCGAGGATCCCAGCCCCAGCGAGTTGTTGCTTCTGCTTCTGCTGCTGCTGTTGCTGTTGCTGCTGCTGCTCTATTTACCGTTCCTGCTAGCCCATCGGGAGCAGCAGCAGCAGCGCCAGTAGCAGCAGCAGCATCCGCCGCACCCGTAGCATCAGCATCAGCATCAGCATCAGCAGCAGCAGCAGCAGCAGTTGCGGTGTACAGACAGGGGGCCTCAGTCAGTGGACACATATACTGCAGCGACTCCGGTAGACGTGCAGCAATTAACTCGAGCAAGGCGAGTAGCTCCTGCAAACCCCAAACCCTAAACCCTAAACCCTAAACCCTAAACCCTAAACCCTAACCACTGGTTCTTTAGCAGGGGCTGGAAGAAAGACGCAAAGGTAAAGAGGCTGTCGTGAGGGTTTGCGCTCTGCTGCTGCTTGAAGCTTGTCTCCGAGGGTTTAGGGTTTACAGTCTAGGGTTTAGGGTTTAGGGTTTACCGCGAGCTGCTCGTTTGCTGCTTGCAGCTGACTGTCGCGCATTGCAAGAGCTGCTGAAATGCGCCGGACTTCTTGCTGCAGCTGCAGAGACACCCAAACCCTAAACCCTAAACCCTAAGCCCTAAACCCTCAACCCTAAACCCTCCGCAGTATGTTCGAAACCCTAAACCCTAAACCCTAAACCCTAGCTTACGTCAGTCGCGGGCTTCTCCACTGCCTCGAGTTGCGCCTGAAGAACTGCGACCTGCTCTCCACGCTCCTGTACATCTCAAACCCTAAACCCTAAACCCTAAACCCTAAACCCCAAACCCTAAACCCTAAACCCTAAGTTCGAGACCGTAAACCCTAGACGGGTCTGCCTAGTAATTGGGCGTTCTCATTGATTGCCCTCGTGCTGCAGCGCGTGCAGGTCCCCGCTGCTGGTTAGGGTTTAGGGTTTAGGGTTTGGGAGTAGGCGGACCTTTGCTGCTGCTTCTTGCTGCAGTGTCTCCAGCAGCAACGCGTTTAGCTGTGCCTTTGTTTCTGAGGCTTCTCGCGAGAGCAGCAGCCGTTCTGCTGCTGCTCTTGATGCTGCTGCTGCTCGTCCTTGCTGCAGCTGCTGCACCTGAATATCAAACCCTACACCCTAAACCCCAAACCCTAAACCCTAAACCCTAATCCCTAAACAGCCACGGAATCTCCGCAACAGGGCCAAGGCCCCGCACTACGCTAGGGTTTAGGGTTTAGGGTTTAGGGTTTACCTCTTTCCCTAGCGTCGCTGTCTCTGCTGCCAGAGCAGCAAACAACTCAGGTGCTGCTGCCTGCTGCAGCAGCGCAGAGTGTCTCTCAGCAGCAGCAAGACTGTACCGGAGAGATTCAATGCTTTCTTGCTGCACCGCAAACCCTAAACCCTAAAGCCTAAACCCTAAACCCTAGGCCTGACGCGATAAGCCCTAAGCCAATACACTCTGGGCTATATAAACCCTAAGCCCTAAACCCTAAACCCTAAACCCTAACTTCCAATCGTTCTCTGGAGCCCCAGGGAAATCAGCCCGTCTTGCAAGGGGATTAGGGTTTAGAGATTAGGGTTTAGGGTTTAGGGTTTAGGGTTTACCTGCCAGCGAATAACGCGTCTAGCTTGCAACAGAAGAGACGCTTCTGGGGCTTGGGGAGGCACAGAGGCTGTAGCAGCAAAGCGCAAACCCTAAACCCTAAACCCTAAACCCTAAACCCTAAACCTCTTGACCTCTCGACCGTATTGAACTGTTACTGCGGAGCCTAGGGTTTAGGGTTTAGGGTTTAGGTCTACAAACACCTACGCCGCTACTGCCCAGGGCTTAGCATTAGGGTTTAGGGTTTAGGGTTTAGGGTTTACTGCATCTAGCTAGGAAGACCTTCACAAGTTGTCGAGGGCCCCGCACCGCCAGCAGCCGCAGCAGACCCACAGCAGCAGCAGGCAAAAGCAGCAGCGCCTTTTGCTGCTGCTGCTGCTGCTGCTGCAGTTGCTTCTGTTGCTGCTGCTTTTGCTGCTGTTGCAGCTGGTGCTGCTGCTGCTGCACTTGCTTCTGTTGCTGCTGATGCTGCAGGTATACCGTGAGGCATTTTTGATTAAAGAGAGGGGGGTAAGCAGCAGCAGGAGCAGCAGCAGCAGGAGCAGCAGCAGCAGCAGCAAGAGGGTTTTGCGTGTCTGCTGCCGAGGGTTTACAGAGACAAAACGAAGAGAAGAGCAAACGCAGCAAACCGCCTAAACACCCACCAGCCTGCATGCACACAAACCCTCATCAATGCATGCTGCTGCTGCTGCTGCTTCTGTTGCTGCTGGTGCTGCTGCTGCTGCTGCTGCTGTTGTTGTTGTTGCTGCTGCTGCTGTTGCTGCTTCTGTTGCTGTGCCTACTGCTGTTGCTAAACATCTTCCTCTCAAACATCTGCGGTTCTGTAGTTAGGGTTTAGGGTTTAGGGTTTAGGGTTTAGGGTTTACGGTTGTTTGAAGTAGCTGTGAGAAGCGCTCGCAAAACCCCTCAATACCAACCGTAGTCAGCAAGGCTTCAGCAACGTTGCTGCTGCTGCTGCTGCTCTTGTTGCTGCTGTTGCTGCTGCTGCTGCTGCTGCTGTTAGCAGCAGCGGAGGGTTGCTGCTCATCGGCAGCTGCAAGGGCCTCTTGCTGCCGAAGGACTTCAATGGATTGCTGCAGCAGCACCGCAGCAAAGCCGCGCAGCAGCACCTGCTGCTGCAGCTCCTCGTCCTGCTGCTGCTGCTGCTGTTCATGCTGCAGCAGCCGCACAAGGGAGACAACACCAAGGGGAGACAGCAGCAACGAAGCCAGAGGGGCCTGAGCTGCTGAGGCGAAGTCAGCGGTTGCTGCTGCTGCTGCTGCTGCATCTCCTTCAACCGGCTGGAGCTTGCCGCTGCTGCCACTGCTGCTGCTGCTGCTGCTGCTGCTCAAAAGATCAGCAGCAGGGAGTGCAATGCATGGAGGAGACAGGACAGACAGCAGCAAAGCCAGCAGCCCCGCTGCACACCACGCGGCGGCTTGCTGCAGCAGCACATCACACCCCTAAACCCTAAACCCTAAACCCTAAACCCTAAACCCTAAACCCTGAATCCAGTGGAGCACAGCCATAAACCACGATGGGGCTGGTGCTGTGGAAGTGAAAGGCAAGAAGAGACGAAGTCGGAAGGGTTTAGGGTTTAGGGTTTAGGGTTTACAGACTCGGGAGTTCGGAGCCTCTAAAGTTAGGGCATGCAAAAGCTTCGGTAGAAGGCGAGTAGCTGCTTGCTGCAGCAGCGGCTCCTGCTGCTGCTGCTGCTGCTCCTCCCCCATCATACAGACGGGTTGCTGCAGCAGATGCTGCAGCAGAGGAAGGTTGTTGTGTACAGTAGACAGCAGCAGCTGCAGCACAGCACGAGCCTGCAGCAGGCGCTGCTGCAGCAGTGCATCAGCAGCACTTCCTGCTGCTGCTGCTGCCGCTGCTGCTGAGTTGGCTGCGAAGCCACTGAAGCTGCTGCTGTCCTTGCTGCTGGCTGCTGCGAGAACTGCTGCTGCTGCGGTGCCCTCGGCTGCAGCAGCAGCAGCAGCAGCAAACCCTGCCAGCCAGTGCAAGAGAGCAGCAATACGGAGGCCTGCAGGAACCACCTGCTGCTGCTGCTGCTGCTGCAGCTGCTGCTGCTGCTGCTCCGACATCTTCACCAGCGGCAGCAGCAAAGGCGTCGATATTAAAGCCATGCTCATCACAGCGCCTTCACCGTGCTGCTGCTGCTGCTGCTGCTGCTGCAGCTGCTGCTGCAGGGAATTGCTGCCAAGAGCAGCAAGAATTTGCTCCAGCAGCTGTTGCTGCAGCGGCGAGTTGCCTGCGAGGAGCTGCAGGACAGACAGCAGCAGCAGCAGCAGGAACCGCTAAACCCTAAACCCTATACCCTGACGTCTAAACCCTAAACCCTTAACCCAAAACCCTAAACCCTAGACGTACAAGGTCTATTGAGGCCAGCAGCATTTGCTGCAGCTCAGCATCTCCCGACGATACAAGTGCTGCATGCACCAACCATGATAGAGGGTCCAGTTGCTGCTGCTGCTGCTGCTGCTGCAGCTGCTGCTGCGCTGCAGCTAAAGCAGCAGCACCAGCAGCAGCACCTGCCCCTCTGGCAGCAGAAACAAGCAGAGCCAACGTCTCCCCAAGGATATGTTTTGCTGCATCGCAGTGCAGCAGGAGTTGCTGCTGCTGCTGTTGCAGCTGCGCGTCGTGCTGCTGCGGATCCTGGTGCTGATGCTGCTGCAGTTGCTGCTGCAGCTGCTGCAGTGCAGCAGCACACTCAGCAGCAAACTTGCAGCAAGTAGCGGGCAGATCGCAACGCAGCAGCGCCAAACAATTACGTATAAATTCTGCAGTGCTGCTGCCTTCTTGTCTTGCTGCTGCTGCTGTTGCTGCTGCTGCTGCTGATGCTGCAGTCTGCCCCGCGAGCCCATCGTCTTTAGCTTCACTGGATGCAACAAACTGCTGCAGCAGCAGCAGCAGCAGCTTCGTCGCCTTGCAGATACTCTCTAGCCCGCTACGTCTGCTGCTGCTGCTGCTGCTAGGGTGCTGCTTCTCTGGGGTTGCTGCTGCGCTTGATAGAGTGTCTCCTACCACCAGCCGCTGCAGCTCGCTGAGAAGCTGCTGTAGCAGCTGCTGCTGCAGGAAGTGCAGCAGCAGCACCAGCTGCTGCAGCAGCTGAGCTTCGCGCATATACTTCCGCCCGTGTTCATCTGCTGCTAGCAGCAGCAAACAACGCAGCGCTGCGAGAGCCTGGGATGATGCAGCATCAAGAGAGCAGCTGCTGCTGTCTTCAGCTGCAGCAGCAGCAGCAGCAGCAGAGTAGTTCAGCTCCAGCGATAATACTCTCAACAAAGCCTCAAGCCCACCCTGCAACAGCAGCAGCAGCAGCAGCAGCAGGACAAGCAGCAGCAGCAGCACTTATCTTGCTTTTGCAACAGCCTACACACCTCAGGAAACCCTAAACCCTAAACCCTAAACCCTAACTCTCGACCTCGCGAAGAGGCATGGCGACTGGTGGGCTTTACGTTTTAGGGTTTAGGGTTTAGGGTTTAGGGTTTTGCTTTACCTGTATCGTGCATGCAGTCCTCATAGGGGGGGAGAGCAGCAGCAGCAGCTGCAGCAGCTGCAGCGCGTGCACACGCAGAGCTTCTGCTGCTGCTCCGTCTGCAGCAAGTGCTGTTGTTAGCTGCTGCATGCAGCAGCCTCCTTCAGAGCAAGCAGCAGCAATTGCTGCTGCTACGCTATCTCCTGCTCCCCGTCCCTTCTGCTGCTGCTGCTGCTGCTGAGTGTAGTGCTCCAGGCTGCTGCTGTACAGCAGCAGCCGCCGCAGCAGCAGCAAGCAATCGACCTCCAGCTCTGCGCTACTAAGCTGCAGCAGCCTGACGATGGTTTCCCCGCCTCCTGTGCTGCAGCAGACGCGCTGCAGCAGCAGCAAATGCGCTGCTGCTGCTGCTGCTGTTGCTGCTGCGGTTTGCTTGTCGCTCGACGCAAACGCAGCAGCAGCAGCAGCCCCTCCAGGAGCCCCAGCAGCAGCAGCAGCAGCAGCAGCAGCTTCCAGCCGTAACAGTCTTCCTGCAGTGCTCTCTGCTGCTGCCCCGTTGCTGCTGCTGCTGTTGCTGTTGCTGCTGCAGCTGTCTGCTGCTGCTAACGCAGCAGCTGCTGCTGCAGCTGGAGGCTGCTGCAACGCAGCAAAGACATGCAACTCTTCAGGAGTTTCGTACGCGCTCGTCCAGTCTGCTGCTGCTGCTGCAGTTGCTGCTGCTGCTG